CGGCGGCGCCGTTAGCCGCTCACTCGCTCGCCACTTCTCACACTTCATCTACTGAGCAAAAGCGCGACCATGGCGAACTGCGAGCGAAGTGCAAAAGTTTTTGGTTCACATACACACTAAGTCATCTATTTGACGGACTACATGGGTCATTTTGTGGTGAACGACACAAGCAGTGACAACGGCGTGGCGCGAAAGAGTGACACGGTCGGTGAAACTCGCCGACCGGCATCGCTTTGATCTTGCCGGCATCATCTTGATAAATTGACGCCTCGGAATAGTTATAGTTGGTGATTAGAGGGTCGTTATCATCACACCTTCTCACTTCATTCCATACTGTCCTTAATTAGAACCTGCCACGGCCGATATGTTTCTGCAAACTCATTTTATGTGCTCCAAATTAGGTACTTTCAATTTGATTTTTCGATATCTGCTATTGAAATTAGGTGCTTAATTAGACGAGAACTGTCTCTGTTGCTTATAAAAATTAGCGGATAATTTTTAGTTTCAGCTCGGTGGTGTTGATTGTAGTAGATGTAGGCAGGAGCCTTAGAAGGCGATTAAGAGCGATAAAGATTTTTTGGACCTTAGCCAAAGGTCGTGATTGGACACGAGTATTTGAAATAGGATACGGAAACTTCACACTTCTCTCCAAAAATTATTTACAGCAGAAAAAAAATCGAGTAAGTCTGGAAAAAAATCCAAAAGATTGTGAATTTCAGAAGACGCTCAAATGTTGGAAGAACATGCACGTACGCACGAAGAAGGCGAACAGTGCCCGTTATGCTCGGATCGTACGCAGAAACTCACCGAGCATTTGATTCAGGTGAGGTCTCAGAGTCTCTCAGCAAGTCTCTTTCTTTTCTTCACCGCCTGTGTGAGTCACTCACTCGATTGAGCCGTGAGAGTACTTTCTTTCGACTAGGCACAGGCAGTAGTTCACCTCATCCAGTAGAGTATCGCCCCTATTCGCCCCTATATTTGCAGGAACATAAGATTGCCGAGTCAGCGGTGGAACGGTTGCTCGCCGTGCATCGTCCAGAACCATCCAGGTGAGTGTCGTCGGTGTGAACGCCGGAATCGTTCTCATTAATTGCTAATAAGTGGAAAAAAGAGCTTGCCGAGAGCTGCGTGTGATGATCGGTCACGTAGAGAGAGAGAGAAGTTAATGAGTCCTTTAATTACTGTCATTGTACTCTTTTTAGACGTTATTGCTTGGTTCTCATCAGTAAATTAGTACTGGGCGAGTCTTTCTTAAGCCCTTCGAGACCTACCTGCTTGATTTCTTTACTTCGAAACTGCCTTTAGTCCCTGTTCTTTTCTCAAGAATCACTCGTTTTCTGTAAAGTGCTGTTTTTTGCAATGTCCAAGCAACCTTTTGCAGTCGTAAGAAAAGACAAGCAAATCGGGAAAAAAACTTGAGTAGCTTTTTTTCTGATTTCTATTCCCTCTTACTTGATCAGTGAGCGACTTGCTCAAAATTTTTCTACCTTCCATTCACTCCTTGCCAATTAAGGCGCTCAAAAAGAGCCCAGTCTTGCTCATTCGAGCAACAGTTCGCTCTCTAATACCGTAACCTTCTCTCTCTCCCTTGTCTCGTCTAGGGCTCAACGTTCTCGTCTCGTCGTCAACGCCGTTTATTTACATTTCTCTATCCCTTGTCGCTCTGTGTTCGACGCTCATTTTCCCATTATTGTAATGATTGACAATAGACGAACGACGACGTCGACGCTCTTTTCCTCCATCAGCCAACTAAAACCACCCTGGTCGAAGAGCTGAGATTAGTTCTGGAAGTTGAGAAGCTGATGGTTGATAAGCCTCATTTTGTCCGGGCTATTCTGGATCACCAGGAGCGGTTGAGAGAGGGTAGTGGATAGGAAGAGAAGAGTAATGGTAGCTTTATGTGATTTCTGGAGCGTAAAAAAAGGACCTGAAGTAGCTGGTTGTAATGGTCCAAATTTTTGCCGAATATATCCAAAAAATTCTAGACTCACAGATTCTCAGTATGGGAACTTTGAGTCGAAATCGCTTGCTTTTTGGAACCTATCCTTCCTCTCAAATTATTCCAGATTTCCTCCACAGTGTGCTCTTCCCAGAAAAGATTTTCCTTTTTCTTTTCTTATTTTCATATTGCTTTCCTGCCACCCCAGTGATTTTCAGGTCCCAAAAAATTCAGTTCTCCTAAAGCAATAATGCACTATGTCTCAAATTAAATCCAAAAGTTAAGCTCAGCGCGATAAGAGATGTTCTTTTGTAATGTTTACTAAGTCCCCTTTTCAATCATTTATTTACTTCCTTAAGGATCAGATTTCGGTGGCTAAAGCTTTGTCACTATAGATTGTTCAATCGATTTCACCCCTCGAACTCTTCTTTTGTTCACACCACTTGCACTTCTACTCTTAAATATTTGCGTAAAGTTTTTCCTTTTTTCTTTCAGTTCGGGCAACTTCACCTTCCGGTGCGGACAGTGCACAATGGCCTTTCGGTCAGAGTCTGCGCTTCGATCGCACTCAATTCTACACCTTTTTGCGCCTACTCAACGATGTTCACTATGTCAGAAAAC